CTACTAATAACCTATGGCTTGTTTGGAAAGGGGAATAAAGATTTACTATAATTTAGTGTGTAAGATGCTTTATAATTACTCTATACTGTAAGACATTGTATCTAAGAATGAATATGTGTATATTGCTAGTCTTTTTAAACCTGTTAAATGTTTTATGATTAAAGGCAGCCTGTAGGTCCCAAACCCAGTGCTCACATCAAAGCCTGATCACCAGACAAGGCTCTAAGCTTTGATTTTATCACATCTGTATACATTACCTAGAGCAAAAAAGTCTTGGGCTCATGGCTTTTCTACACACAGTGATGTAACTCCCCTAATAGGACAAATTTATACCATTGGAAGATAACTTATATGCCTATAGCTTGCTTCCCTCTGCCCATTGTTTGTGCCCACCAGGGAACTTGTCCCATCATAGGTATTTTAGTAGAGTCCCATGTCTCTGCTGCTGCTACAATTTTCAAGCATGGTTGGTAATGCAATAACTGTATCACATCTATTAGGACCTGTCAGAGGAAGCTGAAAAATGAGACAACTGTTAAAACCATGATTTAATATTTAAAAATGAATAAATAATAACCTCATGCTATTTGTGCCAATCTTGTGGCTTATGAAATTCTGGGACTGATGATCTTAGCAACAGCAGGCTGATTAAAACACCACGGAGCTGGTGCATGAACAGTCTCAGTAAGAAGCCCATGTGCATGGAATTAATTTTCCTCTTGGCTGGATGAAGCTTGGGGCACTGAGATAATACTGTTCTACTTTTGGTTTGGGGAGGTGGAAATGGTTTTTGGGAGAGGACCATCTTTCAAGTTTTGGGGTTGAATTGGTACCTGTAATGTTTGTGAAGATTACACATGCAGTCACAACACTGGCCACTCTCAAATGTATGACTTCCTCAGCTGTACTGGGCTGTAAAGATAAGGTAGGCTACAAAAACTGATGGTCTCTTCTGATGATTTTTAGCTCTATATTTACTACAAAGGAAGACAAGCTCAGTTGCTTCTGCAGTATTATAGTTAAACTTGCCTAGCTGGAATTATTATATAGATATCTGACTCAGTGTCACATACACACCTACTAACACCTTAGTCGATGAAGGATTGCAATCATACAGGATTGTGGTTTTGAAGACTGGGCATATATAGATGCACTAAGAACTACGCATTGAAACATTCTGACATTTTTTTCTCAAGACTGCCTACTCAGAAGAGAGTCCAAGACTGGTGATCCCTGCTTTCTTTTATAGATCATTTCACCCAGATTCAGATTCCAGTCTTCTGCCCCTCTCACAATCATTCACCTTGATTAAGTATTACAAGCAAGAAGAGAGACAGTCCCTTCTTCCCTAAAACACTGGTCATGGCTTCCTGCTTTGGAGCTGCCAGCAGTCCTTGGGCCAGCTGGAAGAGTTTCATGTATCCAGACAGAAGTGGATGCTACTCCCATGTTTGCCTTTATAATGAGTTTTTCACTACGTAGGAGGTACAAGGCCCTTTCCTTCTGGCCAGGAAAATGCTCAGCCTCAAGAGTGAAACCTTTTTGCAAGTAATCCTTATTTTTACCTAAAAATATATATAAAAAAATTCTAATCTTCTTGCTGTATCAAAGGATGCCCCCATGCTATTGGACCCCCATCAATCCTGCCAGCTTTATATCTGAAGGATTCTGTCATATGGTAACAAGCCATACCATACTTTACAATTTTCCTTACTGGTTATTATTATCAATGCACCATAGCTTTTAAATCACAAAGAAAACAGTCACTGTGACAAATATGTTTACACTTAAGTTATGTAAGGACAGTCCATCGAAACGTGTTTAGAAGTCACTGCAACCTACTTAATTAGACAGGAAATTTAAAAACTGAAACTACCACATAAGGAAATTTTCAAGTAATGCTTTATTTGGGGGTGCTCTCATCAGCAGTGCACATGGACAGAAAAAGATGCACAAAGCAGAATAGTTTCTGCATACATAACACATATACCTGACTACTGAGCAATTTATTGCTGATCTGTGAGTGGAGCAGCATCCTTGGGAATCTGTGTGAGGGTTTTCAGGATATAACCTTTGTGCATTCACGTATGCAGAAGCCTACAAATCTGCACCATAATTAAAATGTCCATGTTTTAAATATAGCTATGACTTTATACAAACCTCAGATTGCAGGAGGAGCTGAGAAGTGTCATTTGTTTAGCTGAATCAGCCAAGATGAGAGAGATGTTCAAATTTACTCTAGGTGTATCTAGACAGAGATATATTTATTTTATTTTTTTTGCCTATGATTCCTTTATACACTTTTGTGTATTTCAAAACTATTTCTTAAACAAATACTTTGTTTGCATTTGTCTTAAACTGTTTTGGATTAAGGGTGATATAAATTAAATGAGTTGCCTTCCATTTGGACATAGCAAGCTGTAACATAGGGACTGGACCATTCATACAGAGCTCACCTCTCTCCTATACTTGTCCAAACCTACAGCAACCTGACTATGTTTGTAACAGCCTACAAAGCTATATTCTAGCAAACTCAAAATGTCAAATGTCTTCTTGGCATAAACAGCATTCTGATATGTTTTGTGATTCTGTGTAGTGTTTTATCTTGAAGCCCGTTCCAGTGAAGTCTCCATGATGTAAAAAAGCTCAGAGGAGTCTCAATACATTTCTTAAAACTGATAGAGCTTTAAAATCTTTCAAAGAGAAAGCAAAAAAGAGTGGGGAAAGAAGGCAAAAAGTTTGTACCCAGTAAGACACTAAAAAGAAAAGGTTGTCTTAATGTCAAACCAACATCTACTTCTAAGCTTTAGCCGCATTCTTGTACTCTTACCCTATCAGCACCAGTGGAAATGCAGATTGGTGATTACCCAAGGGCACTACCATTTTCCAGCAGAAATAGCTGTTGCATTTATTCAATCTTTTGGAAATAATCCATGGAGTTTGCAAAATTTTACGGTTTATTGCTATCAAGGTCACAGTAACATGGATTTTCTTTTGCAATCCATCAGGAGAATCAGAAAGACAACATATATCATACAGAGAGTATTGCAACATTAACCCAATACAACAGTCCATGGAGATAGCATTCAGTACTGTTCATTGTAGCTTTATGGCAATGAGCCTTGAGATTAGTCTTCTGAATCATGCTTGTATACTGAAGTATGCGAAAGTCATATTGTTTCCAATGCAACAACATAGTACATACAGACTTGGCAGATTCCTGACCTCTACAGTTTTTGACAGTTTCCCAAATTTAGGACTGAGAATGTCAGACTGACCCTGCATTTGGCAAGAATAATAGAAGTCCTGGTTTTATCAAACTCTGCTTCAAGTCAGATCTCATTTTCATTAAAAAAAAAAAAAAATCTCCGATTTTGTAATATTAACGTAATATTTGTATTTGTAAACAAGTAGAAAATTAAGCTGTCCCTAAATGAATGTACTATGTTGGATTTGGAGAGTCAGTGAGGCTCCTACATCATAAAAGGAAAAATAAAATTAAATTGGTGGTGCTTGCATATGGCAATATTTCTTATCTGTCAGAAGACTGCAAATTAAATGACAAAAAAAAATGAGAGTTTCGAGCATGTAAAAAAGTTCTATGTTCAGTTGTTTGTCCTCTATCACTCTTATTGCAGATGAAGTTGTTGACTCTGCTATTTAAATCAGAAAAAATATCAATGGCTTAATGCTATTGTGAACCTGGCAGTAAATGGGATAAGACTAAATCTTCAAAACTTTGCCATGGAGGGTTTAATTGATACTCCTAAAATCCACATTCTTTTTTTTTTTCTCATTTTCTGACCTCATTTCTGAGTCAGAGACAGAGAGGGTGGAGTATAATAATTCTACCCAGGCCGTTTGACCAGGCAAGAAGCCCAAGAAAAATGATTTTTCCATATACTAACATTAATAAGTAGTAGAATCCCAAAGTTATTTTGCAAGACTTCAACTAGTATTTTGAACTTCACATTACATAAATTAAATAGTTGTTTCTCAAGGCCCTTGCAGCATGGCTTCTTCTTGTAAATTATACTGATTTTGCTTTTTAGGCTGCCCAGTGTGTCATTTTCTTTCATATTTTCTTTATGTATATTCTTTGATTTCACAGTGGATGTTACAAAATGCTATACAGTTTCTACACGGAGATCATCACCCAGGTGATGACAATATTCACTTTTTTTGCAGTAAGCTCAACCAAAATGCATGTGATTGGGTTAATATTGAGACAGTTTTACCTTGTTAAGGTTCTTGGGGCTTTGTTCCTCTCCACACCCTATATGGTACAACCTCCATATTAGTGTCCTTCCATGGGGAAAGATCAGTACACAAGTGTTCCTCTCGTATTCACAACTCATCTGCATCCAGCTGTAATATTTTGTAACAAGATAGTTCTGATAGCCAATTTAAGCGAACCAGCCAAAAAAAAGAGTCTTTTACCTTTTTTTTGGACTACATTTAACATCTCTGTTACCCTACACTCAGGCTAAATAGTTTATTCTTAAAAAAATCCTACCTCTGTTTCCTACCTCTAGAAATCAACTTTACAGTGACTTCTGAGATCTCAAATGTGCCAAGAGGGGACTACAAGCTAACACCTGATGCTCCAATGCATGAACTCCAGAGCAAGAAGACTCTGCTGATCACCATGCCCTGCCTTCCTCAGGGTAAATCCTTTCCAGAATCCAGCTTTACTCAAATGGATCAACAGCCTCTCTAGCCCACTTTTATCTGCATTTGGATTCAGGTGTAACAGGAATACAACAATGCTCATACAGGCTTTACCAAGAGCTGAGGCAGACTCCCATCAGAAAAAGAAAGACTCCAAGATGGCAACAAGTATGAATTCACAATGGGCATTTGCATTTTGCGCTGCAAATAGAACATCCTATCAGGCCTTTCCAATATAAACATGATCCAGTGTATTGTACCAGACATTACTGCACATTTTTTCAAATTTCATATGAAAAACATGAAGAAAATAAAACTGTATTTCTTACTTTCGGCGGAACATTTCTGCAAATATGCAGCCGACACTCCAAAGATCAACTGGTGTTGCATAGCTGGACTGAAGCAAAACTTCAGGAGCTCTATACCACAAAGTAACAACCTGTAAAACAAAAAGGAACATAAGAGACAGCTCAGCTACAGAATTACAACTTTGTAAGTGTTGTTCATACAGCTCCCATTTAGTTTAATCCAAATTGTAAAATCTCACAGGTTAGGGCAAACTGATTTGGCCAGTGCGTAGAAAAGGGTCCTGTATGGGAAATCTCAGTATGGATAGCTGCAGTGATGATGAGTCGAGAAATGAGACCACTTCTTGTCAAGAACAGTGCAGTTCAGGGTACAACAAAAATACAGTATCAGAGTGCAGCATTGGTGTAAAACAACAGTATCACAGCACACTACCAGAACAACTCTTTGAAGCTTTTGCAGTTTACAGACCCCAAACACTTTCCAGTGGAGATTTGGACTCTCCATAGGGCAAACGTTAGTCTATTGAACAAGGCCTCCTTTTCTTGAACAACTTTTGTAGACCCTTAGATGTAGTCACCAGAGCCAAACTGGAAGCAAATAAGCTAGGGAATACTGTGGGTTTACCCATAGAACAAATCAGAACCTGTAACCCATGTCTGTCCTAAGCCCTTCATAGTTTATGTATTATTTTTTGTAAAAGAAATGGGGTTAGCTCAAGTGTATGGACCAAGCTGGGTAAACATGTATGACCTGTCTCAAAAGTTCTCTCTGAAGAAACTGAAGAAAATATACAATTTTTTTTTTAATCAGTTGGATACAGATTAAGTCAAACCCTCCTCAAAGCTGTCCCTTACCAAAGGCATTCAGTGCTGTCCACTGTAGTTTCCTCACACACAGAGGTACCTTAAACTGGCAGTTTTCAACTGAGCAACACAGCACAGGGATCCTTGGCAGATTCCTGACCTTTATAGTTGTGTGACTGTCTCTGCCCACGTGCTGCTGGTAGACCAGCACTAACTTCTCTCACAATTTATTTTCAAATGATACACTCTTTCCCAGGGACATATGCCACATAAAGCGTCTGCTTTTAGGTTGTTCTTGTCCTGGTGGTCATGTTGCAACATGTTGTAGAGACCCAGTGGGAATTTTACTGGCACTGCTCCATTGATGTACTTTGATGAGTCGTCCACATTGGACCCACAACAGAGATGGGACAGTTTATATTTATCCTTTTGTTTCCCACAAATAGACCAAATACAGATGAGGCTGACTGTATCTTCAGTATATTTACAGAAGAACACAAGGAGCTTCTTCAGAGTCCTGCGGGAGCTATTATGTTGCTAGAATATAATCTCAGAGACACAGGAGTATCCTGCTCCTGAATACAGTTATAATCCAGCCATAACAACACATGATCATCAGCTAAATACCAATATTTTCTTAGTGTGTGCTATAATTTAAACGTCTGACTGTTAATCTGGGGGCAGGAAGGGTCTCAACAATTATTGGTTTGTTTCTCCAGCAAACACAAAGGTGGGAGATGCAGCATTCAGGAGAAACATGAAACAAAGCAAAAACACTGAAAAGAAACAAGTGCAAGGATAAGAATAAAAATAACTTTAAAAATTATATTAACTAGGATAGTGAGTTCTGAATTTCAAGACCAGTACAAAGAAATGTGTAAGAAGAGTGGGTTTTTTTAATGATAACAATATAATTGTCTTCTAAGCAAAAATAACAATGGAAGTAATCAGCTGAATTTGCTGGTCAAAGCCAGCTGAAACAAAAGCAAATACAACATTAATTACAATCATTACATGCCCTGACAGCCTTTGGAACTACTGAAGGGCTATTGAAGGGAGGTTCACGGATATTTGCACAAGTGGTCATATTTGCTAACAGTCCTCTTAAACACTTTGATCTCTATTCATAAAATTTGTCTTTGAAACAGTTCAATAACACAGTGCAAAGTACTGCACGGGCAAGCTAGAATTCCAGATACCTGTCCACAGAAACAGGTTCCTGTGTGGAAGTTGGGCATTATTTAACTCCATTTGTCTTGTTCCTGATTTGGTACCATACCAGTGGTGCTTTTCCAAAATATTTCCCTCTATAAAAACCAGAAGACTTTATTCAGAGAGTCACTCTAGGGAAATGAGACAAATGTAACTGAAGGTCAGGGATTTTTACTGGAGCTGCCCTATTTGAGTCAGAGAGAATTCCTCCTAAAACACATACATATTTTTCCTGATGCAGATACACCTCTCAAACTGAACTGCACTTTTATTCTCCCAGTACATCTGTGGAAAAGCTTATTGAAGAAACTGTGCTTTGAGAAATTAGATATAACAATTTCAACCCATTATTGTTTGTCAGTGGCTGGGTGCAGTGTCAGGAGCAAGAGCTGTGTGATCTCTGATCTGCGGGAATACCACCAAACCTCACGATTCCTGGTTTGAGATCCACACTGCTGTTCTCACACAGAGTGAAAGGGTACTTTATTTTTCCCAATCCCACCAGCCCTGCCACATTAGGGTTCTGCACTCTCATAGGCAAAGGATTGGGGGATGCATGGTTGCAAGGCAGTTTGAATAATTCTGACAAAGTATGCCCCAAACTGAAGTCCCTTTTCCAGGGAAATGCGGCACAGGGCAGCTGCTCCTTTCCTGAGAGAAGTGTCGCAGCTCATAGTTGGTCCCTGGGTGCTTGCTCAGGGGGAACAGTGCTGTTTTCAGAAGGCTGCGGAAGCGTACAGCATGTTAGCTGCTTCTCCCACGTGACCACTTACTGGCACAGTTCCCCAAGCATTTGCACCCTGCTACGCTCCATGCATGCATACACAGGGGATTGGGAGATTTTACTTCTGAGTAATTTGGAAACTTAGCCCTTAAAAAAAAAATTATTTCCAAAGTCTTAGAGTTAAATTCCAGCAAATGCCTGATTGCTTTACAGTCAGAGAGGAAGTAATCTGTGTTGAGCTGTTTTGATATACTCTGTCATTACTGTGTAATTGTAGAAGTGACCAAGTAACCTTTATGGTTTATAATATGCAAGTCTGTGTTTCAAAATGTGAACCTGAAAGGGATCAAAATGTACTAAATGTCAGTTTGCACACAAGTAATGCCACAGATGACTCCTCTAGTGGTCAGGGTCTTCTCCTGAAAAGCACAGGATGATGCAGATGATGCAGTGGTTTTGACACAGAGTTTCACACTCTCTTTCTCTTACCATAGAAACCAAGAAAATATTTGTGGACATTCCATTAACATTTGCAGATAAGTAGAAATGAAAATTATTCTGAACACAGGATATGGTGAGGCTGAACAACTAGATCATCACTTCCTCTTTAGCACAGCTCTGACTTAGAATGAAAAAAATGCTTTGCTTAGGTAAGCCATCCCACCAGTGAGACAGGCTCTCCCTGAGAGATAGAGCACTTGATAAAGAGTTGCTTGATAAAGTCCCATTTTTAGGATGAAAAAAGCAAGCACATCCATTGGTACTTTTCACTTAAATTCTGCCTCTCCTGAAAATCTGATGCACACGTAATGTGGCACATGGCGATTGCTCTGCAGGAAAAGGGGTTCACGCTCACATGCTGACAGAGATCCTAAATTCAGCACAAGACTCCTAAATACTTTGGAGATTGTAGGCTTTAGTGACCATGTTGCATTTTAGTCCTCTCATCTAAAAAACTTCCCTCCTTTGCCTCCTCCTTGCTTCTCCTCACCCTGCCTGGTCTCTTTAGCTCCTCTCTTACACCACCCAGGTTCCCCCAAGCTGTCCCCCGACATCCTGCCTCCTCTCCCCTGCCTCTGCCTTTCTGCCACTTGCCAGTGGCCCCTGTGAGAGCGTCACTGAACATACCTTACCCACTGCTGCTCATGTGCAAACGCCCAGCTGGACACAGACTGCTGCCCCGCCATGTCCCATGTGCTCTGACTTCCCACATGTTCCCCGTCTGCTCCCTTGCACCCGCAAACTCCCCCAAATTTCACACCCTGTCCCCTCCTCTTCCAACAGCCTCCAAATGCTCCCAGGCCACATTAGCTCCTTTTACCCCCTTAGCTTCTCAGCCCACTCTTCCTGCACTGAGGATACCCTATGACATTTTTGTTTCATAGATTAAGCTGCATACAAAAAGATTGAGAATAAATCATACACTGGAAGGAGTATGTACTTAAAGGAGTAACTATGCTCCTCTTCCAGTGCACATTTTATGTTTCCACTATCCAGATAAGATGGGATGATATCAGATAAGAATGATACCAGTAGCTGCAGATCACTGTTTCTAACAATTTAAATGCCAATAGATTTAGGCAGCACTTTAGGATGAAATGTGTATCTGAGAGGCATCAGAAAGGAGAAGAACATCTGCAAAAGTCTACCAAGGCTGTGTCTGACCTCCTAAAGAAGGAAATGTGCTCAGTGAGAAACAAGGGGAGATCTGCATTTAGAGTCATAAGAAGAAAGAGAACTTTATTTTGAAATAAAGCTTTCTGCCTTATTATACCTGACAGATGTTGCTATCTGGGACCATCTAGCCCCAGGAGTTTCAATCCTGCACTTCATGGTACCTGTTTATGATGAAAAATTAAATTGCTGGTAAGTATCTGCTCACTAGCAATGCAAACAGAAGATCTAGGCATTCTGTCAGTCTCATTTAATTTCCATCTTTCCCTTTCCAAATATAGTTGCTGTCTGAATAGCATACCGTTCAAAAAAGACAAAGACAAACAGAGGTTTAAGGATGGGGTTGAGTAACATAGACACAAAAGACTACATTTCGGTTTGCCACAGACTTTAAGTACAGACCAATGCCCAGTTGCACAGCTACAGGAACAAAGCAGGGATCAGACTGTAACACAGCAGCTATGTCTGTGCTAGGAAATTAAATGGGACAGGAAATGTTCCTTTGGCACCAAGACCAACAGGCACAGAGTGGCCTATGTCCATATTACTAAATTCTCAGCCTCCCAAAAAAGGTGACCGCATGCAAACTGCTTATTGGGAATAGTCTTTGGTCCATGCTTAACTGTGCCTAGGAACCGTCTGGGGAAAGGCTGGTTGGCATAACTCAAAACCATGCCAGGAACTATTCTAATAATTTAACAGTATAGACAATTGAGC